TTTTTAACTTGAACTGGATTTTTATTTTTGATCAACGAGCTGTCGCTGGAGTCGATTGATTTATTATCAGTCTTATCATCAATGTCCCGACTAACATCATCTTCCAAAATTTTGGACCCCGACGGTGTATCGTTAGGCTGAAATGAAAATACTAAATTAATATTTTTTCAGGTACCAGACAACAGGGAATGGAAGACATACAAGTAGGATTTCACCACAGGTGGAATTTTCCAGGATGTTGTGGAGCCATCGACGGCAAACATGTGGTAATTCAAGCTCCTCCCAATTGTGGTAGTGAATACTATAATTATAAAGGAACAAACAGCTTGGTGCTCTTAGCAGTCGTGGATCATGACTACTGTTTTAAATATGTGGACATAGGCTCATATGGGCGAAACTCGACGGTGGTGTTTTCCAAGCTTTCTCATTGTATCCAGTGTTGGAAAATGGGTCATTACTGCCAGAAGGTGGATTCCTAGTGGGAGATGATGCTTTCCCTCTTAAGACGTACTTATTGAAACGATATCCCAATGAGCCCACGATTGTCGAAAAAATTTACAATACAGATTCACTAGGGCAAGACGCATAGTAGAAAATGCATTTGGTATTTTAGTATCTCGATTCCGTGTTTTGGCACTACCTATCCAGTTGCAAGAGGAAACCGCAATAAAAATGATTCGAACTACATGTGTACTGCACAACTGGTTGCGCAAATCATCACTTCACACACCTACACCACCTGGTAGCATAGATTATGAAGATATTGTAAATTTCACTACGAACCTAGGAACGTGGAGATCAGAAATAAATGCGTTACCAAGTATCGCCCGTTCGCGGATCAATAACAGATGAAAGTTCGCAGCTGAAAAATTGAGAGAGAATACAATTTTTTTTTGTAATGAGGGTGCTGTCACCTGGCAAAATTATATGATTAGTAATAATTAAATGTGATGAACTAACTCAGTGGAATAAAATATCAGGTACTCACCAGATTGCTTGTAGTTTTCTTTTCTTTCAAATTAATTGTTTTCTTATATAATCCATTATATCGAACCATTTTAAACATCTTCCGACCCAGATCCACTTTTTTACTTTTTTCAATTTTCGCGCGTTCTTGGTTATAGGCAGATAGTAAATTTTTTATTTTTTTAGTTACCTCACTGGTGTTAACTAGACTCATTTCGTTTGCAATGTATTCCAAAGATGCTTTTCTCATATCTCTATTTTTATAATTTTTATCAAAACAATTCCATAGGTTTTCTTGTTCTCTGTAGAGATTCATGAATGTAATATATTCTCAGAAGACCACCTTTCTGAGCCCATTTCGAAGTGGGTAAACGCTTTTGGCGCAGCACACAAAAATACAGCTTCTGCTTCGTAATTGCTGTTGCCAATGCGCGTTGCTGTCGGGCCAGTAGGCGAGTGAAAACAAAAATTGTTGAAGTAACTCGGGTGCGAGCTACTGTCCAACTCGCACGTACGAGTTACTCGTAGGTACGTCCGTTATTTATGCGAATTACTGCACTGCAGCTACTCGGCAGGATGACTCGTACGCTAGCTCGCACTGTGTAAACGAGCCATTAGGCAACCTGTCTGGTCGTCTCGCCAGTAGCGGCGCGGCGGGGTGACGCTAGTACGCGTTCCAACACTTCCCCTCGAGACGTAGCAGACACATACAGGTTCTGGTCCGTCGTCTGTAATCCCAAAAGTTCCATGCACTTCCGATGTTTTGTCCTCGACAACCCCTTCGTCAATACGTCTGCGGCATTTCAGAAGATGGGTATGCTTCAACTTAACTTCTTCTGTTCCAAGGCCTCCCGCACAAAATGGTAACGTATGTCGATGTGCTTACTTCTGGAATGATATCTTGGGTTCTCGGCCAATTTTATAGCACTCATATTGTCGCTATACAGGGTTACGTTAGCGAGTCTTTCGAACCCAAGTTCGGTCATGAACTTGCCCAAGTAGATTGCTTCCTTGGCAGCTTCGGTGGTACCCATATATTCCGCCTCGGTGGTAGACAATGCCACTGTGGCTTGCTTCTTCGATTTCCACGATACGGGTCCGCCTGATAGGATGAATGAGAATCCGGTATAGCGAATGCCTATCATCAGGGCAGTTTGCCCAATCAGCATCAACGAATCCTCTCAGATTCATGTCTTCTCGATGGTATAACTATCGAGTGATCGATGGTGCCCTTCAGGTACCTAAGTACTCGCTTTGCGGCTGTCCAGTGTTCCTTAGTGTAACAGTTGTTGAACTGTCCTAAGTAGCTTACGGCAAAGCTAATATCGGGTCTCGTTCCCAACGATAGATAGGTTAGCGCACCTATAAAGCTCTCTATAAGGTAACTTCAGCTCTTCACTAGATGGGCTCTCCGTCGGTTTCCTTAACTTCGTTCCTGGATCAAGTGGAGTGCTTACAGTGTTCGCATCCGCCATGTTGAATCGATCTAGTATTTCCAAGATATATGCTCTCTGGCTTAGACTTATCTTGTTTTTCTTTAGTGAAAATTCCATCCCTAGGCAATGATTAACTGATCCCAGATCTTTCATTTCAAATCTTCAGATAATTTGGCTTTTAGGGACGATATTGCCTTTTTGTCACGTGATGCGATAATCAGATCGTCTACATAAGTGACAATTATCATAATGTCTTTCCCTGTTTTACTAGTGAATACACATGGGTCGGACTTAGTTGGATTTGCACCACATTCACTAAGTGTCTGGCTTAGTTTCTGATACCAGCTCCGACCGGCTTGCTTCAGGCCGTATAGTGACTTCCTAAGTAGACATACTTTATCACCTTTTCCCAGTGTGTTCAAGGTATCTCGAGCCTTCTTTCTGGTAGCCTCGTTGTATTTGGAGTTATCACAAATAATCTTCAATGATTCATCCAAATATTCGGGGGTTTCCATGTAAATCGTCTCATCTAGACTTCCATTTAAGTATGCGCAGGTAACATCCAGTTGCTGCATGTCCATATTTAAATGTGCTGCTAGGGCAGATACAAGTCTTATGGAGCTAAGCCTTGCTACAGGGGCAAAAGTCTCGTTGAAATGTGTTCCGGGCTTTTGGCTAAATCCCCGAGCGACTAGTCTTGCCTTCCTCCTTTCGATAGTTCCATCAGGCTTGTACTTGTTTCTCAGGACAATACGGCTTCCAACGATGTGCTGGTTACATGGTCGGTCGATTAATTCCCAAGTACCATTCTTCAAGATAGATGCCACTTCGTCTGCCATCGCCTTGTGCCATTCGTCAGCGTCCTCGCCTCTGACTGCCTGATGCATCGGGACCTCGGACAGTAATACCTCATCAGAAGAGAGTGCTGAACCTCTCGGGGGTGTCCTGTACCTGTATATCTTTCTAGGTCTTCCCCTCGAACCAGTTCGCCGAATTCTGGGTCTCCCGCGGAGCACGCCTGGGTGGCTCAGAATCGTGATCAACCTCGGGCTCTTCTTGTTCCGTTGTAGGAGATTCATGTTCTGGATTTTCGTTCTCGACAACTGGGGATAGCTGTACCTCGATAGTATGCATCTCAGATTCATTCTCCTTGGATGATCCTTCCAGAATAAAATCTGTCCATTCTTGGCTTATGACTTCTGCGTTTTCCAAGAACTTAACATCCCTCGTGACTACGAATTTATTCTCCTTCGGCAACCAGACCTTGTATCCTTTCGTTTGTTCCGAATACCCTATGAAAATTCCTTCCTTACATCTTGCGTATAGCTTCCCCTTGGCCTGATCTTGGTTTAGACAGAAGACCTTGCAACCAAAATCTCTGAGATGCGAAACGTCGGGAGTCTTTCCAGTCCACTTTTCGTATGGTGTTAACCCGTTCAGACTTTTGGATGGACATCTGTTCCGCAAATAGTTGGCCGTGTTGATGGCTTCAGCCCAAAAGATCGGAGGTAAGCCGGACTGCATGATTAGACAACGTGCTGTATCCAAGAGAGTGCGGTTCTTCCTCTCCGCTATACCGTTCTGTTCCGGAGTGTATGGGCAAGTCAAGCGACGTGAAATTCCGTGCTTTTTCAGGAGATCCTCCATTTCCTTACATGTGTACTCCGTCCCGTTGTCAGATTGGATGCACTTTATCTTTTTGTTCTTTTGGTTTTCGACCAGTGTAATATATTCCTGAGTCTTTCGCACAACTTCATTTTTATGTTTCATGAAGAATACCGTGCAATACCTAGAATAATCATCTATGAATTCGACAAAATATTTGTACTTCGAGTGAGATTCTACTCGCATGGGACCGCAAACATCAGTATGTACGATTTCTAGCATTTCCGATTCCCTGTCGGACTTCTTCGGGAATGGTGAACGCGTCATTTTTCCGCGTATGCAAATTTCGCAATTAAGTTCCCCATTATTAGGCATATTTTCAATATTTACTCCACCTAATCTTCCTTTCTTCAATGAAGAATTCAAATCCTGAAAGTTCAAATGTCCTAATCTACGATGCCATAGTTTGACATTTTTAGAATTCATGGTCGAAATGAAAGCTGATTTATTCTGCGCTTCGCCTTCTCTCGCGTAGTATAAATCGCCACTACGATCGGCTACAACTTTTATATCACCATTACTATCATAGATCAAAGCATTTTCTTTCTTGAATAAAACTTCAAATCCTTTATCGGTAATCTTTGCAACAGAAAGTAAGTTTACTCTTAGGTCGGGAACATGAAAAGCTTTATGGAGTGAGATGTTTTTCGTGTCGCCAAAAACGTCAGCAACAAACGTGGCTGTTCCGGAACCTGTAATGTCCGTAAATTCACTATTTGCTAAATTCAAATGATCATGTCTACGTTCAAGGTCAGAAAAACAACTAATGTCTTTACATAAGTGAGACGTTGCGCCACTGTCTAGACACCATTTCAGTCTTTTGTGATTCTGTTCAACATGATAACATTCCGCGGTAACGAGTCCCACGTGTTCGGAACAGTTCGCTTCACTTTTGTAAGAATTGGCAACAGTCTTACCTTTGTCTGGACATTCAGCGGCCTTGTGGCCTACTTTTCGGCATCTGTGACACTTATACCTGAACGTTCTTCTGCCTTCCGAGACGCCGCTGCCTCGTGCACCTTCCGAGACGCCGCTGCCTCGTGTACCTTCCGAGACGCCACTGCCCGTCCGCCATTTCCTGCGTGACCGTGATTTTTCCCATAATTCCGCTTCACGAACATGGCGCCTTCCGTTTCTCGAACGTCGCCTTTCCGCGCAGTATACTCTTCTATAATTTTTATTCGAAGAATTTCCGGGGATGGTAATTCGTCTCTAGACTCAATTGCACACCTGAAGTTTTCAAAACTGGCTGGCAGGCTATACAATAGCATTATCGCTAATAGATCTGCATTGATTTCTACATCCATGTCATTTAACTTGTCAACTGCATCGAAAAATGAGTTTAAATGACATCGTATGTCCTGTCCCTCTTCCATACGTTGCAGTGTAAGCTGTTTGAGCAATGTGGCCTT